TGATACCCAGATCTGAAGCCCCAATCTCCCAACTTCCCAACCTGCCAGCTCCTCCAAGTTCGTCACTTTGCCTCTGCGGTAAGGCGAACATTTTCGTATCTGTATCTGCAGCACTTCACGCTCTCCTTCTGTACCCTACCAAGGGGTATTAGTCACGTAGTCAAGACATTTAAAGATATTATTAGTTCTGATGGTATATATGTGCAGGTCGTTAGTTATATCTACAGATGACATTAAATTATATTAATATACTATTTCTTGGCTAGCATCTTCCAAGTATATTCACGTGATTGAGCTCTATAAAGTGTTACTAATAAGTATAGTATAGTGCATACTTGGGATAACACTTGAACTGAGTCTTTTTTCCAATATTATTATCCATCATCCCAATGAAGTAACATTTCCTTTATTGACAGAATACAGTGGAATTAGAGGTATAAAAAAGCGCAAAAGGGCATCCTAGGTTCCGGCCATCTAAGCCATCCTTCCGGCCAAGATACATGTACATACGGACAATATATACGGACACACATACGCAAAAGTTTATGTACTTATGGCAGCTTTTCCCATCCGCGCCGCCGTCTGCTCATCAACATCCACGGATAAGCGTCGCAATTACAACAGGGCCTGCAAATCGCTTCATCTTTTTTTTATGGCGCCCTACAATGGCCGTTTTGGGATAGTCTTATGGATGGCCCGGCTCTGTTGGCTTGGCTGGTTGGTTGGTTGGTTGGCCAAGAGCAGAGCCAGACAACGGGACGGGCTCGTAGCAAATCATTGGACCATGTTAGCGGCGAGTAAGTAAATTTGATGATTTGCACTTTGAACTTTAATTTGTTGTAGCCGCGCTGGTCGTTGTAAGCGCCTAAAACTAATGAACATTTCGCCTTTTACTGCCTTGTGCTGAGCACCGTAATAAGCCGAACATTTATAGTTCAAATTTTACGAATGCATCTATTTGATGGCGAAATTAATAATTTGCCTTTTACCACCAGTATCCAGCAGCATATTTCTATATTTTAACAGCACACTATCAAACAATCAAAGTATACCACACAATTATACAATAATTCCGTAATTATCGAGGGAGGGGCTGCAAAAGTCAGTGCAGCCGGTGCCCAATTCTCCCGATGCCTCCACACAGGTTCGCGATTCACCCTTTACTTTTCGCATATGCTGTGACGTCTGTTCGTTTTTCACTTGCGTTTGCCCAACTCTCGTCTTTGTGGTGCATTTTGCTTTTCTTTTGCGGCCCAGCACTGCATTATTTATGCTGAAAAGCAGGGTAGGGGGTTTTCTACAATTTTTGTTAATAATTCTTAGCAGCAGCTTGTGAAAAACATACATACTTGTACATATGTATGCCTTGTTTTTTTCCTCAGCTATTAAGCTGATGATTTTAATGAGTGAATAATGTGTTTGGTTGCCCTCCTCGAAACGTCGAAGGCAGTGGCCCCAGTTTTTCTACTTTAATTTTTTAATAACCTTCAAACTCTGTGGCTCCAGACCGAGTTTTTTTCGTAATTCGTTTGTTTGCCCATCGACATGTGTCTGGTGGAAAAGTTCCCCCGCCTGGAAAAGTTCCCAGTGGAGGAGCTACCGATTCGAGTGGAGCATTAAATTTGTCATTAGGTTCTGAAAATTACATCAAGTAGTGTTCCTCGACGCTCTTGTAGATTTATCTTTTTAAATATTTAAACGTTCTAATTGGCTGACCGTCGGGCACTTGAGGCCTTCTTCTCTCGCTCTGTGAACAAATTTTTGGTTGACATAGATAATTGTACTGCTTGCGATTATGTGGCAGATTATGCGGCACACAACTGACAAATGTCTGGATTTTGGCCGCAGGGACCAAGACTCATTGTGCAGCTTTCTTCGTTCTCGTTCAAGGGGGTGTGGTGTGTGGTGTGTGAACTATAATGAGCCAGAGTTGACTTTTCATTTTGGTCTTGTCAAGTGCTCGAGGCTTCTACATTTTCAAGATGCCATTCCACTCCCTGTGACGACACACTACTCGGAACCCAGCTATTCGTCTTGGGGAGCTGTGACATTTTTTATGGCCTGTACTGATGTTTTGACCTAGTAATTTAATGAGGCTAAATGGCGTGGCACTTGATTGCCGGAACATGCGGGCGGGCTTCTATTTTTTTAGATTTTGGGTGGGAGGTGTGAGAAAGCTTCTGGAGTGCAGCAAATGGCAGCAAATTCAATTTGTAGCTGGGGCTTTTGAGACACCACAAGATGATGATAAAAACGCGTTCCTTTACAAGTTTTTCCAAGAAGCGAAACAAAAAGTATACTAAGCTGAGTAGTGTTCAATGCGAACAATTACGGCAAATGTAATTTGATCTGCATGCGTTGACCAAACTCAAAGGAAAGAGAACTTCATTAGGATGTGACCAGGTTAGCTAACTTCCTTAGTTCTAAACAACCTGGCCCATTAGTCCCATGCATGTCAATGCTTCATATCCCGCCATTTCTCCCGGCCTTTGAGCCCAAAACCCCCCCAAAGTCCGAGCTGCATCTCCGGCAGCCATTTGCACCGAAAGGGACTTGGAAAAGGAAGTAATCCATTCTGAGTGCAGTTTTCAATATCACTTTCCAGAGACAACTTCCTGCCGGGGCCGGTCGCATCATCATCAAAAAGAACAGGGTCGAGGAGAAAAACTGTTGGCACTTTGCATACAAATGTGCTACCAAGCCGAAGTTATCGCAACATTTTAATAACTGGCGGCAACAGTAGCCAACTGCAGATGGTGCAGAAGATCTGAGCCGCAGCTTGAGAGTTCGAGAGTCCGCGTCCAGTCGGCTTTCATTAATTACCAAGAAAAGCGAGTTTTCGGTGTGTTCTTTTTTGCCTTTTCCTGCCAGTCAAGAAGTTGCTGCTACTGCTGCTGCTGCTGCTGCTAGTTGCGACTAGTATTTTCCGTCAACAGGTTCGGGGTTTGGCCCTAACTGGGCTTGGGCTCGCTAAACTGGCTTAGATCCCTGGCTCTTATCTGGCCAGCATATCACGCAACATGCGCGTAATTTTATGAATGAAGTGTTCGCTGCCGGCCAGGATTCTCGATTCAGCTGGGGCCTGGCAAACTGGTCCGAGATCTGGCACTTAATTGCGATCGCACCTCAGCAGCAGCAGCAACAGCAACAAGTGCAGCATCAACAGGCCGCAGTTTGTCAGTCAGGTTAACAAATTGCGTTAAGACGGAGCCCAGTTGTTCAACCGGTTTGCAGCACATCTGTGCTCGATTCTGGTGCACTTGTTGCATCAGCTTCATCATCATCAGGAGCAGCAGCAGGCGCAGCAGCAGAAGCAGCAGCAAAACAACAGGAGGCGCAGCAGCAACATCACAACACACACTTGCAACAGTCGCTTATTAAATATGATTATGTGTTCGATTCTGCGCTGCTCTTCAAGATTCAGCCACCGGTTCGAGTAAGAGTGCTGGGTAAAAGTACGTATGGCCACAGGAAGTGGAGCCGCGTCAGGCGTCGTCACATTGGCGGCACTCACTTCCCCAGCCCCAACCCATTCCCATCCCCAATCGACCAGCCCGCTCCATCAGGCAGCGGCAAGTGCTGCCCACTTTTAATGAAGTTTTCCGTTTCGTGATGGTTTTGTTGACTTTCCAAGCCCGGTTAGATACCCTCACAGTGGGCTCGGCGGAGCCGGCGAGGGAAAATCAATTTTACCCAGAGGACGGCATCTGCAAAACAATTGGCTAGGGCATTAGAAAGTCCTCTATTTTAGATCCCTTCCATTACCGGCAGTGCCTTTGCTAAGCTGCCAGACAAAATAAAAATCCATTGGCCGTTCAAATGTTTTAATTAAAATTTAATGAATTCAGTGTACTTAATTATGCATTGTTGTTTTTTTGCCCTTGCCCCTTGCCCCTTCCCACTTGCAACTGCCGCGCGGACGGGCAATGTTGAAAATTAAATTTAATTGTTCTATCTTTCTGCTATTGCACTGAGTGGCAATCAAGGCGTATATGAGCTAGAAAAAGCTTGGAAATTTGCGGTGACAGCCTGTATAAGCATGGTAATTAAAATTGCATTTATATGGGAATTGATTTGAGTATGGAAATATGTCAATAATGCTTATGAAGTTAGCCAAAAACGTAAACTGAAATTGCAGGTTTAATTAACATGCACTGCGCTTAGCCATCGAATAAACAAATATTCAATTTACTGCAATAATAGGCAATCTGCATTTAATAAAACTCTCAATGCCCAGGACCTTGCGTTGCTTTTAAATCAATAAAATAAATAAACATATTATTTCACTGCAAAGTGAAACATCGAAAGCACAGAGTTTGAGAGCAAAACCGAATTGGGCAAAATTCAACATTAATTAAAATCAAATCACTGCCAGTCAGCAAAATGTAGCAATATAAATGGCAGTTTCAGTTCTATTGACCTCCACTGGAGTTCCAGTAAACATTTCCCATTTAATGTGAGCACTGCTATACATAGTTTCCACCATGGACCACCTGTCAGGTCCACAGAACTCTGCGGGCTGTGAAAGCCGATTGCCCGCAATCCGCTAATTTCGTCTTTCAGGCATTGAAAATTTGTATTATTAGGCGTTCCATTAATGAGGCCGCGAGCCTTGGCTATTAATTAATAAAACTTCCTCTAAAAATGCCGCCACTTTGTCTGGCCCCGAAAAATGGAATCAATTAGGCGGCGTTTAAGGTGCAAGTGGCCACGCCCACCAGAAGAAAGCCTCGGGGGCGCTAAGAGCGAAAAACGAAGAGCGAAGACTGATGACTGAAGTCAGCGCACTGATTGATGACACTGGACACTTGAATCTTCGGGGAGATTCTGCGGGGGCACGAAGAAATGGCATTTGGTTACATCATTATAGGGCTTATGTACATCAAAGTGAAATGGTTCCAAGGCATAATTAAGTTGATTATCATGTCCCCTGCTCTTGTAACTGAGAAAAAGGCACACTTTAATTTGAAAAATTTGTAATTTTATTCAAATACGTTTTTGTTCGAAGATACAAAAATTTGTCTTTTTTTCTGTATTTTTAGCGCTTCTTGCATTAATTGTTTTAGGTATTACATATAAATAATTACTTTATTCAATGAACTTCTTTTTACACACATACTCTATCCAAATCCAAATGCAACTGCAAATGCAAGTGCGCTCGGAGTCTAATTTATAATTAACACTTTACGGAATTTGTATTTATAGATTTCTATAGCATAATTTTTGGCGCTCTCGCGTGCTTGCATCAACTTCTTTACCATGTATATAATTATTGTCATGCATGATAAAAAGAACGTCGCTGAATGCTGTAAATATGTATCTTGAATATACTTTACGTCTCGATCCCTAGCTCTAGCAAAAGTCACACTTAAAAATATTTTTATATATATAATTGAAGTCGCTATTTCGTTTTGGTGATTTCGAATCGGTCCGTTCAAACGCTTACGCTTTTCGGCCTGTTGTGTGTACATTTATGTATATTCATTTATGTTTATGCTTTTAGTACGTATGTTGATAAATATTGGTATGTCCTATAGCTTAAACATGAACAACTGCTAATGAGAATGAGCCACGCCTCGACTGACTCGCCATATATTTATGCTAAATGCTAAATGCTAAAATGCGTAATTCCTACTACTTAATATCGATGACCTTACTACGAATTAATATTTGAGAGTGTTCTGTTGTTCGTTCATATTCTTTTGTTTTTGTTTGTTAATATTTCGCTTTTGTTTTTGTTTTTCTCTTTCTTTTTTTTGTGGTGTCCACCAAAATGCTGCTGCTTCTGCCGATGTTCGGGTTCAGGTTGTGGTCGACTAAAAGTGGGTGGAGGGCAGGCATTTCTGTAGAACGGGTTGCGCACCTGCCCCGTGGCCAGACCAATATCCAATATTCCGGGCCCCTCTGCCCCCCCTCGATTGGATTGGTCTTGTGGCAAACGTTTGGCCTGCGTGCTTCCATCAGCCAGCGTCTGCGGAGCTTTGGGCACAGGTACTTATCACAGCCTTCGAGCGCCGCATGCAAATGTCTTTTCTGAAAACACACTCAACATGGTTTCTCCATTTGCGCTCCGTAATAATCAACGTCATATAGTAATAATTACAAGCATAAAATAAAAGTAAAACATTCAATAAAACCAACAGCAACGGCCACCAACCAACGACACCAATCCTAACGAAATGACAGTCAAGTTCTGTGTGTGTTTCGTGTTTCGTGTTTCTTGTTTCTTGTTTCTCGTTTCCGATGGTGATTATGAATGATGTATGTCAATCAGTCTAGCTGGATTTGGCTGGGTTGGGTACTTCTAGCTGTCATTGACGCTCAGCTCGGCTTAGTAAGTCTGCGGATGAGAAGAAAGAAGCGGGCAGGTGGGGGGGTTGTTAGAAATGCGATAAATACAGACTGTTTCTAACAAGCTGTTAATTAGGGGGAGTGGAAGATCTCGAGATTGATTTGGATCATCTTGGGCAGCAGCACACATTTCGAGATACTCGTATCTCGTATTAATTATGCCAAAAATGAGGAGTTGGTTTCTCAACTTACCACCGGCGGATAGGACATGTATTTGTCGCTCATGTTGAAGTAGGATCCATCTGCTGGCGGCGCTGGCGAGGGCGAGGATATGTAGCTACCCTTGATCACCAGCGAGGAGGCGGGCGACGGTGATGGTATGTACAGTCCGTTGGAGATCAGCATGTGATCGTCCTTGGAGCGCATCTGCATGCCCTCGATCATGCCCGTGGCACTGTTCCGCTGACTGTGCCGCTTGGGATTCGGCAGGGTGCGGGTGAAGTCCGGATTGCAGAGCGGATACGGCGGGGTGCACATGGAGCTCTCCTGGTATTTGGGCGGATACGCCGTCGACTGGATGATGTCCACGTTCTCCACGAGATACGTGGAGGCGGCTGCCTTCTTCTGGACATCCGCCTGCAAAGCAGTGATGGGCAGCTGGTTAGGAATATGTCGGAATGCACTTGGTTAGCTCTGATTAGTGGGTTAATCTCCAAGCGCATCTCTTACCTTGTAAACCGACTGACTGTCGTCCTTGGAGTACACATCATCGTTGCTGGGCTCCGCTTCGCTCTGGGACTTGTTCTGCCGTCGGATGACGAACCAGGCCACCAGTGCAGCATTCAGAACCAAGAGCACCATGGCTGCGGACGTGATTCCAATGATCATCACATTGGGCAGCTCGTCTTTTTCGGTGTACTCCGCCGAATGCGGCTGGGAGCCCTTGCTGAGGGTCAACTTGATGTCGGGCATGAACTTACTGCCGCCCGCTTCATTGGCCGCCATCACGGAGAAGTAGTACGTGGCTCCCGGCTTCAGGCCATCAAGGGATATATTCTGGTGTCCGGGTTTGGCGTCCACGTATTTGTACTTATCCTCGCCGTGCTGTTTGAGGCGCAGCCGGAAATAGGTCTGCATGCCGCCATCGAAGCCGGGCGTCCAATTCAGATCCACGCCCGTATCACTGACGTTGCCCACCCTCAGCTGCTGTGGCGCATCCGGGCGGGAGGGCTTACTGAACTCCAGGGTGGTACTCGCCTGTCCCAGAGCATTTCGCACCACGCACTCGTACTGGCCATAGTCATCCGGCGAAGTGTTCTCGATCAGCAGCGCTGACTCAAAGTTCAGGGCGTCCACCTGGCGTTCCGCACTCTTGAACTTGTTGCGCCGCTGCATCTTGAGATCCTTGCCATGGCGCCGCCAGATGAAGCTGGGCTGCGGCGAGGCCAGGGATCTGCAGATCAGCTGGGCACGCACTCCCAAGCGGGCGGCGTAGCGGGTGAAGGCGGGTGAGTGGTCAATTTCAGGAGCGGCTAAAAGGTTCAAAACGAACAATACTCAATAATTAGTAAGCCAGGCTTTTGTTGTTTTGGTAAAACCACTTACTTTGCACCACCAGAAGCACGTTTTGCGCGGCGGGAGCTCCTCTTTGGTTGTCCACAATGCAGGTGAAGTTGCCAATGTCGCTGCGCTCCACACTGGCGATCTGCAGCAGGGCGGTGCCATTTTCGAAACTGGAAATGGTGCGCGTGGCCAGATCGTAGCCGTCGCGGGACCAGCGCACGTGAGCGGCCTCTAGCGGGCGGGCCTGGATGTGGCAGGCCAAGACCGCCGGTTCGCCGGCCACAAAGCTGCGACCCTCGCTGACCGCCGTAATTGTGGGGGCATCTGTGGATTGGGGAGATGACAAAGACAAAGAGAGTCAGCTCCAGTTTTGGGGGTCACCTTTATGGCCAAGTTAGTACTCACATTCCACGGCCACCTGGATCTCCAGCAGCGCGGTGCCCTGGCTATTGAGCGCCTCGCAGATGTAGACACCCGCATCATTGCGACTGAGGCGACTGATATTGAGACGAGGTCCGTCGGAGATCAAGCGCTGGCCGCTCAGACTGTTGCTGCTAATGGGCAGGCCGTCCTTGGTCCAGGTATAGCTAATGACCATGGGGTTTCCGCTGGCCAGCAGCTCCACATGGAACGGCGCTCCCTCCACGCCCACGAAGGTGGTGCTCTGCGGCGTCTCGAACTTGGGTGGATCTGGGGGGATTTAGGGTCAGGGTGCGGTTAGTTGACCTCCAACGGAAAACAAACTCCCGCTTTACTTACAAAGTATATCCAGGCTGATGGTTTCGTGGACACTGCGCTGCAGCACCTCGTTGTGACTCTGGCAGGTATAGACAATGCCATCCAGGTCCTGGGTTATGTTAACGTACATCTCCAGCGTGGACACCGAGCCGCCCCAGAGGCCGGGCCTGTTGGCCAAGCTAAGACCCTCGACGGGAATGCCATCCTTCCACCAGCTGATCTTCGCCGGCGGATTGCTGGAGCTGGAGTCGCAGATCAGCTTGGCCCGAATGCCCGGCACCAGATTCTTGGGCACCACGCTGATCTTGACCGTTTCGGGCGGAACTGAGATGGCAAACAGCCCTATAAGTTGGTATTCCCATTGAAAGCTCAGCTCTACTTACAATGAACTCCCAGCGTTTTGGTGGCGAAGAGCGGTATGTCAATAGCTGCATTCTGCACCTTGCACTTGTAGATGGCATTGTTGTCAGAGGCGTTCACCAGAAGCGAGAGCTCGGAGGTGATCTTACTGTCCACCAGCTTGGAGGGAGCATTAATGATCTTGTCGTTCTTGTACCACTGCAAAGTCGGTGGCGGATTGCCGCCAGCAGAGCTGCACTGCAGTTTCAAAATTGATCCGGAGATAAGGATGTCACCATCGTTATAGCCCGTCAGCAGGGGTGGCGAAGGGGGGTCTGCAAGGGGAGGGAGCAACCATAGTGAAATTATAATTTAATTACGGATAAGATCTGCAGTCAGTCCTCGAGCACTTACAAAGCACATTCACGGTGTGTGATCCCACCACATTCTGCGTGAGTTCCGTGTTGAGGGCGTGGCAAACGGCAATGAAGGTCCTGCTCTGGGTGTCGATGGTCAGGCTGATGTTGGAACTGCTCACCCAGCCGCCGTCGGTGCTGCTGGTGGTCTTGTAGGTGCTATTGTCCAGCGGTCTGCCGTTTATGGACCAGCTGATCCGGGCCTGGGGATTCGAGGGCGCTGTCACGCAGCTCAGTTGCACGGAATCGCCGACCTTGGCCTGGTTGGCGCCGCTCAGATACACATCCTTGGGCGCATCTGCACCAGAAAGAATATTAAACATTAAACATATCGTTGTATCTTCTCCAATATCTTCTCCTTATATCTTAAGCATGATAAATTATGCCCATTGGGCCCGGACCTTTAATGCATATGTGCTGTACATCTAACTACGTTTGTGCTCCGGATAATCCCAGTAAAAGTAAATAAAAAACTTACACAAAACAGTCAGATTGAGTTCGGCGCGCAGGGGAGTTGTCGCCAGCAGATTTGTGGCCTCGCAGACCAGATTAGCGCCATTGTCCTCGGCGGCGGCGGTGAACTTGTAGACGTTCTCCGACAGGCGGCCCGAGGTGCGCTGTGGCGAACTGATGGCCACGCCATTCCGGTACCAAGTCAGTTGGGCCGGGGGATTGCCGCCGCGGCTGCGGCAGGCTACTTGCACTTCCTGGCCGCGATGCAGTGGCTCACCCTGGCTGTAGCCCTCGAAGAACGGAGCGCCGGGCGGATCTGTGGGTTGGTCAAGGGACACTCGATTAGCAACTCCGCCGGCACACACAAAGCACCAGCCGGCAGGCACTTACAGAGCACGGAGAGCTGCACCTGGGCGCGCATCGGTACATCGGGGGGCAGAGCCTTGTGGCGCGCCTCGCAGGAGAACTCCTTGTAGTCGTCTTCGGCGCGCGGCTGCAGTTGCAGGGTGGAGCTGGTTGTGAAGCGCTTTGGGGCGGTTTGATTCACCGTCACAATGGGCGCTACACGGCGAGAAAAGAGCCACAAAGTTGGTCATCAATTGACATTAATTAGAAGCTTGAATGACTGTTAATACTTGGCTTTTATGTAGGCAAGCTAGGTTATGGTTACTATAGAGCACATGACTGGAACGCACCTGTCGAAACTGGAACCTCGCCCTGGAACCAAACAATCTCCGCCGCCGGATTCGCGTTCTCGGCGATGCAGTGCAGCGTAAGATTCTGGCGCTCCTCCACCTCCACGCGAGCGTTCCGGGCATAGCCCTCGATGACAATGCTACTCGGAGCCGCCACTATGCTCAACTTGGCATTGGCACGAATGGCCGGATTCCCAGCAGCCGGTCCCACCTGGCACTGGTACTCGGCGTCGTCCTCCAGCGTGGCGTTCTTGATCTGCAGGTTGTAGGCATTCTGCTTGGCGTCCACCAGCACCGAGTAGCGTGGGAATCCGGGAATCACCGCCGAGAATCCCAGCGCAAAGCCATCCTTGGTCCACTGGACTTTTCCCGCTCGGTTGGACACCTCGCAGCGCAGGAGGGTGTCGGTGCCCTCCAGTATCTGCAGATCGTGGGGCGTCAGGTGAAACTTTTGCACAGCTGGCGCTGCCACCTGGGCGGCCGGAGCTGGAGCAGCAACTGCGGCCATTACGTGGCAGATGGTGGTGGCTGTACAGAGAGCAAAATACATTGCACATTACTACATTACACATTACTATTAAATAATAGTTCTAAGTTCATCTGCTCAAGGTTTTTTGTACCACTTTTTCACATTGTAATGTTAAATGAAATTTAAAATTTTTCAGTTGTAAAGATGCCCTAAAATCTAAGCTCTGTAAAGTACATTTAAGCTAGCTTTAAGCAAAAATATTATAAAAATTTCATTAATTACTAATGTCAGTAAGAATCTACTTTTAAATAGGCAACTTTATTATCATATACCACAGAAGCAGGCTCTATTATTTAGTGGGTGGGTAAATGTAACTACTTTTTCTCGGTGTAAAGGCAAACGAGATGGAAAGGAAATTCGCATGGTTAATCGGCACGTTCGACATTTGCGCACGTAGTTTGCCAAGTGCATCGGCAATGGGAACAGTTCAATTGGCATCGAATCGACGTGGATGTCGACCTGACAGGGCCCGCAGTTTCAATCGGAATCGAAGTCAGAGTCGGAGTCGGAGTCGCAGTCGGATGCGGAGTCGGAGTCGGATGGCCACGGCTGCCCAGTTTTACGGCCCACACATAAAACACACATTACTTAAGCGTAAGCCCCGACGACGTCGCTCAGTCACATCGCACTAATTTGGTACAACTTCTTTGCTTCCCCCTCCGATTTCAGTTCGATTTCAGTTCGATTCGATTCGAATCGAGTTGTTTCCTTTCCGCTCACATGGCAGCCGGGCAGGGAGCTCCACTCTCAGGCTGTCATTGAGACACGGGATGTATATCTAGCTGTCCGTCCACGTCCATGGGTCTGTGCCGTTCTGCGCCAGGCTGTTTGACGCTGAAACGGCCCACACCTAGGCCAAAGTAGGTCTACAGCTTGCGGCTCATTAGCATTAAAATGTCTTAGGAAAAACGAGCGGGCCACGTTCGATACCAAATTGAGCGGCCTACTCACACGGGGTATACGTATTGTATATACGAGCATGTGTGTTTGTCTATATGTCGTCGACCTAATCAGCATTAGGGCAATCTACATAGCTACATAAAAGCATTGACAACTCACGCACACTGTCGCGGGTTCGGTGGGAAATGGGAACGTAAGTGTTGTGTGGGTGCCGGAGAAAGTTCCATTTTGGAGCTGCTGCGATCGGGCAATTAAATGGGAGATTATACAGATGGGAGTATATAATAACCTGCTGGCAAATAATGCGCGATTAATCATTTGCCGATCGAGAGCTCTTATAAATTACCAGCTAAAGACAACTGTCGCCTTGACTGCGATGGATAATGCCATGCCCAGATTCGACTAATGAATTGGCCATTTATCAAGCGAAAATCTCGAATAACATTCTTAATTCCCCGCACAAGTCGAAACAAGTTTAATTTATAATTAATTTATTTCAGCGAACATTGCTCAATTAAACTGGTTTCGGTGCCACTGTGCGCTGCGTGAATCGTGGCCACAAATCGTTGGGCAAATAAACAAAACAAACGTTTCTGTCGCGGACTCCGTCGGTGGATTAATTGATTATTTGTCTGGGAAGACAGCGGACAAGATGGTCTTGAAAGAGAAGAGCGGATATGAATTCGGTCGGAACGGAAATGTGGCCAGCCCACCCACCCAGTGGCAAAGTTAGTCATTCGCTATTGAGGGCGCCTCCATTGCCTCCATTTGCATTCGCTGCCATTTCAGCCGGTTAAAGTTCAAGCAATTAAGCCAAGCGACAGTTGACCAACTCGCCACTGCCAGAACATTTCCTGCGGCAATTAACCAAAAGAAAAAAAGTAAAAAATACAAAATACAAAAAAGAGGCAACAAAAAACAGCGCAACTTGACAGGTTTTTGCACTGACAATGACGACAAAAACAGAGAAAACTGAGAAAACTGAGACCCAGCCCGCTGCAACTTGCATACAACTCATTTAGTGTCATTACGGGAGGAAGACGGGTAGATGGTATATGGTAGATGGTTTTATGGCTACGACACTGTGGGCTTATGGCCAAGAGAGCGGCGAGACGCGGCGGGACGCGGCGGCAGGAAAGCCACCCCGCTGGCACAAGGAAACACAGAGGGTATAGAGGTATAGAGGGTAATTGTCACACATATGCAGGCCAGGATGGCCAACAAAGAAATCCTTGAAGTGTGACAGTAGGAAGCGAAGAAGGAAAGACTGCGAAACACACACTCGACTGAGTGAAGTAAGTGCAAAGTAAATGAAAGATGAGCAGCAGGCCGAAAGGCCCAACCGGTTTAGCATTTCATTCATGGGTTTCCAAACCAACCAAGCAGCCATCCGTCGTTCTGGCCAGTGGTTAGTGGCCAAGTCGCCGGGAAGTTTGGGCACCCAGGGGCAGCTGTAATTGTCAACTGGTCCCACAAATTGTACGCAAACTAAACTAACTGCTTGACCGCAAAGCGTACGCTCCATACTCGATGATGACGACGATGATGATGATGCCGATATGAGGTTGCGAAGGAGCACTTCCCCTACGGATTTGCCTATGTGCCTGCGGCTGAGCCTATGCCAAAGTCGATTCCTGGCCGCAAGCTAAGTGAGTGTGCTGGCCTGCATTGGCCTCAAAAGCCTGCTAATAGTTTTCGAGCTCCGGAGCTCCTGGCAGGACGCAGGACGCAGGACCCAGAGATGCCTGAGTTACTTCCAAGTTGCGGCTGGCCTTCATTTTCCCCTGCACAGAACTCTGTTCGAAATGGGCACTGCCAATTGGCACAGTTAAAAATATTTTTTGGCTTTTTCCCCTATTAGTTCAGTTAACAAAGACCCAACAGCTAAACTCCCACGGAGTTTAGCGCATCTCTATCGTGAGTGGTTACGTGTGGCAAAGCCAAGCGAAGCGCAACGCCGGATGTCGCACTAATGGCCAACGCAACGCAACGCAACGCAATCCAATCGCACTCGAAGGTCCCGGCCCGTTTTAGCCCGCTTAGCCCACTGCCATTCGTGTTGGCCATCGACTTGAGCAGCGGGCCTAGATGGCCTGCTGGCTGCTTTGTAAGTTAAACTATCTACAAGTCATTAACTCATACAAAGCCGGCAACTGTCGCAGAGGGTGAGCTGGTGAGCTGGTGGGTTTGAGAGGCTGGGAGGCTGTGAGTCGAGGGACCAGCTAGGCGGAGTCCGGAGTTAAGTGAAGTGGCCTGGACCAACGCACATTTGGCCCTTTGTTTTTCCTCTTTCGCTCCTTTTTTCCTGTGCTCACTCGCTTTCCTTATCGAGACCAGTTTCCAGTTTATTCGCTGCCAGTTTCTGGTAACTCCAGCGCGTTAATGGAAAATATTGTGGCATATCACAGGAAATCCGGTGAGGTTTTTTCTCGTTCGCTTGCTGTTGCTTTTGGCCCTCTCATGGCAGTGGTTGTTGTTGGTGCTGTTGTTGTCGTCGTGTTGGTGGTGGCGGCATGGTTATGTGTGCACACTCCTTTTAGCCGGCAGGACACTTAGCCGGCATCTACTCGCTTTGACAAAATTAACGGGCACATAAATCTCCTCTCTGGGTTTTGCGGCTTTGCGTTATAAATTTAATTAAATTTTTTGTTTGCCTTTTGTGTACTTTATCTGCGCCTGTTAACCAATTTTTTTCCTTTCGCTGCTTGGCTGACTGCTTGGCAAGTGAACAAATGTCTTTTATTATATTGATTAAAGCGGCTTAGTGTGTCAAATTTGTTGTCAGCCATGTTAAGCGCCGGCAAAGTGTTTCAAATTGTTTTAAATGGCAAGGGAAAGGATTTCGGCTATGCGGCCATAACAATTATTTTCCACATGTGCTGTGGGCTGAGTTGCGAAGGCAGTGCGACTTGGCTAAAATGTGAGCCTATCCGATTTTCAGCCGCCACTTAAGCGGTTTTAGCCACTCCGACTGCGCTGGGATTTCAGTCTGTCCTCATGGTGATATAAGCCAGTTGGTTGGAGAGAGTTTTATTGAAATTGTGACGAAGAACTGGGAGAACCTACAGCAGGCCAGTCCCAAAAATTTAGGATGAATTTGGTCGAAAGATCTTAATCTCAAAAAGGAAATGCTCTTCCCGCTGCCTTCCATGGGTAACTGCAACCCCAAATTTCGGTGGCTTGGAGCCTCCGCTTATGGCCAAGTTTATTGCTGACCCAGAACCAGAACCAGAACCGCCTTAATCATCGCCGGCAACCCGCATACCCTCACCGGAGTGTCAACCGACGACCAGACACTTAATGTGCGCCTTGGGCACGCTTAATAAATTCACAATAAAACGCATTTGAATCACGCGAATCGAGAGTGTGAGTGTGATGGCCATGCTGATGGTGGGTGGGTATGGGAATGGGGATCAAGGAGCCTTAACGACCTCGAAATGTTTGTTTATTGCTGTGCCCCTCCGCCGCAGCATCCCGATCTCAAATTGCCGCATTACCAAGTCTCTGTCTGGCTGCTCAGTGTGTGTTGAGCACTGATTGAATTATAAAATTTGCAGCCGAACAAATGCGACCCGGTCTGGCCAATATCAAAAGCCAAGAGCCGGCAATTCGGACCCATTCGGACCCATTCGGCCCCATCGACGTTAAACTAATCAACTAATTTGCTATGAACTCTGCGGTCCGCACAAATTAGAGCGTCCAAGAGGCCACACCGATGCCATTTCCATTTGAAGGCATTAACATTAATTATTTTCTGCTTCATGAGCATTTCAGATGAACACCAACTGGGGGATGTCGATGGAGCTGTCGATGGAGCTGTGACCCCGACACTCGAGTGAAGACCCTCCCGTTTCGGGGCTTTCATCTTTGGTTAATTAGTAAAGAAATGTTGCCCCCACCCCTCGGTTGTGTCAACTATTTTTCCGGCTATGCCGCCGAATATTTTTGAAAATTGCTGCAAGACCGCAACAGTAAACTTTTTTCCATGCGAAATTGAAAGTATTTTGGGGGCTGGTCAGATTGGATGCGAATATCTGAATTTATAGTAAGGGAATTTGGCAGGAATGTGAGCTAGAACGTGGAATTAAAGTGTTTGCTG